AATCAAGGATGTCCACTCTCATAACTTCTAATGCATAATATACTGATGGCCCTAGCTATTGCAAAAAGGCAAGAAAAATAAAGCACATATACTGGAAAATAAGAAATAAAACTATTTCTATTGGCAGAGGACATGGTTGTCCATGCTTAAAAAATCCAAACCCTTTAAAAATCTACGGGAAATAATAAATGAGTTAAGCAAAAATCACAAGATGCAATGTTAACATATAAAAACCAGTAATATTTTTATATACTAACAACAACAACAATTGGATATGAAAGTTTTTTAAAGTACCATTTACAATATTGCCAAAAACATGAGATACTTAAGTATGAATCTAACAAAACGTACAAGATCCATATGCTGAAAACTATAAAATGAATGAAGAAAACCTAAATAAAAGGTGAGATATAAAATTTCAAGGAGAAGGAGAGGGATGAGGAGGGAAAGGAAGAGGGAGGAGAGGCGAGGGGGATTACAAAGAATTGGTTTATGCAATTGTGAGGGCTGGCTAAGCAAGTGCCAACCCCGTGGGCGGTCAAGATGGAAGGTCACACAGGCTGGGACTAAAAAGATGTGGGTCAAGGCTATTATCCATAGGCAGAATTTCTTTTTTTTATTTTATTAATTTGAAGACTCAATTTTATTAAGAATCAAATTTTCTAAACTTATCTATAGATTCAACACAACCCCAATCAAAATCTCAGCAAATTTTTTTTTTGTGTAGAAATCAACATTTTCTAACATTTTTATGGAGAGTCAATGAACAAGAATGGTCAAAGCAAATCTGAAAAAGAAGAGAACATTGGAGAACTTACACTGTCTGATTTCAAGATTTATTGTAAAGCTTCACTGATCAATGTAATAAAACGGAATCCGTGACTAGACCACACATAAATGGGCAGCTGATTTTCAACAAAGGCCATTCAATGGAGAAACTATAGACTTTTTAACAAATGGTGCTGGAACATGTGAATATCAATATGCAAAAAAACTAAAACAAAAACAAAACCTTTGATCCATACTTCATACCACACACAAAAATAATCCTCAAAATTGATCATAGACCTCAATGTAAAACTTCTAAAACTCTAAAACTTTCAGAAGATATGTGAGAAAAACCTTGTAAATTCAATTAGATTTCTTAGAAATGGCAATCTGTTAAGATTGGTCCATAAAATAAAGATTTTAAAAATAGAACTTTATCAAAATTTTAAAGTTCTGCATTTTGAAAGACACTCTAGAGAAAATGATGAGAAGAGATACACAGGCTATGAGAATATTTGCAAAACATATACGATAAAGGAATTTATAAAGAACTCTCAAAACTCAATAATAAGACAAATAAGTCCGTGATGTGTATATATTTATATATCCATGAAAATAGGCAAAACATTTGAACAGACACTTCATTTAAGAAGGGTTATGGGGGAACCTGGGTGGCTCAGTCAATTAAGCATCTGACTCGGTTATGGCTCAGGTCATGGTCTTGGGGTCGTGAGATTGAGCTGTGCATCATGCTCTGTGCTGAGCACAGAATCTGCCTGAGATTTTTCCCCTCCCCTACTCTCTCAAAAAAATAAGTAAATAAAATCTTTAAAGAAAAAAGGAGGGTTACAAATGGCAAATAAACACATGAAAAAAATGTTTATCATCTTTAGTCACTGGGGCAATGCAAATTAAAACGATAATGAGGAATCAGTACACACATTTAGAGTGGGGGTGGGGGAAGGACACCAGCAGGTGCTGTCAAGCACAATGGTGGGAACACAAAATGGGACAGACACTTTGGAAACACTTTGGCAATTTCTTATAAAGCTAAGCACTTTTAAATATGACATACCAAACCAATTCCTTTGTATTTACCTAAGAGAGATGAAATCTAACCTTCACCCAAAGACCTGTATGCAAATGGAGATAGCAGTTTTGTGTATATTTGCCCCAAACTGGAAACAACACAAATCTCCTTCAGCTGATGAAGCCACGAACAAATTGCCATACATCTATGTATTGGTATACTACTTGGCAATAAAAAAAAAAAAAGTCTACTGATACATACAACTATATGGTTGAATCTTAAATGCATTTTACTGAGTCTCAAAGGGCTACATAATATACGATTTTATTTATATCACTGCTGTGAACTGAATGTTTTGTGTTTCCCACCCCAAGATTCCTATGTTGAAGGCCTACACCCAAATGCAATGGTATTTGTAGGTGGGGGCTTTGAGAGGAAGTTAGATTTAAATGAGGTAAAAAAGATGCCCCTGGTTCCCCCAGTATGGGATTAATGTCTTTACAAAAATAGGAAGAGAGACTAGAACACTCTCTTCTCTATGTGAGGACACAGTGAGAAGGTAAACAGCCAGGCCAGGAAGCAGGCTCTCACAAGGAACAGAATCTGCTGGCACCTTGATTCTGGACTTCCCAGCCTCCAGAACTATGAGAAATAAATGTCTGTTGTTTAAACCACCCAGGCCATAATAATTTGTTACAGCAACCAGAGCAGACTAATGCAATCACAGTCTCAAAAAAGCGAAACCATAGGGACAGAAAACTGATAAGTGGTTGCCAGGGCTTCAGGTTGGAGCAGTTGTTTACAAAGGAGCATGAGGGAATATTTTGGGCAGGATGGCTCTGTTCTCTATCTTGATTTTGTTGGTGGATATATCACTACATATGCCTGTCAAAACTTATGAACTATACAATAAAAAGGGTGAATTTTACTATGTGTAAATTTTATCTCAATACAACTGATTCCTAAAAATGTTATGTATGACAGCAAGATACAGAGTTGATGCCTGAAAAAAAAATTAAGAGAAAGAATAAACTGATTTAGATGGAAGTGGGAAGGGCCAAAAGATCTAGGCCAAATAATTAGAAATTCTGGAAGTAAACAGAAGTAGGAAAAGCTGGTTTCTGGTGAGGAGCCTTTTAGGAGAAAAAGGTTGAGGGCTTTCTGTGGCCTATAGGTGCAATATGTACACATACTCTGAGTACAGAGTACACAATACACAACACTGTTTGTTGCCGTAATCGCTAGAAACTTGAGGCAGCCTTAGGCAGACCTCATTAGAAATACAGTGTTGTCTACATTATCGAGGAAGTGTTGTTTAGTCTGTGACATACATAAAGATAGCGAAAAGTCACATAATAAAATTAAAAATAATTAAAATATACAAGCAATATAAAATAGAACATAAAGCTTAGAATATCGGGAGAGCATCAATATATAGACAATATATATCAACAACAATATATAGACATCATTATCAGAATGCAATCTAAATCTAAGAAAAATTATTCTACTATATAAATAATATATGTTTCTTTTAGAGAAGGAGAAAAAAAAGGACCCACTTTCAAAACTTAAAAATTCTGACAAAGTAAATATAAGTTAAAATAATAGATACTATTTTAAGTCAATGGAGCTAACAATAATGAGGTTATGGCAACACAGCAAGAATGGGAGGCACAGGGAATTCACAATCAATTTTGACAGAGTGCAAAGAGCTTCAACTACATTGTAAAGCAATTTGGCAGAATCTTGTGAAGCTGAAAATAGGTATACTCCCGAGACCCGGCAACTGCCGTCACAGGTAAATGCCTGAGAGAAACTCATGCACCTGTTTAACAATGTACATAACAATATTGTTTGCAGGAGCAAAATATTTAAAACAGAGTAAATATCCCTTACCAGATTAGATGATTAAATTGTGTCATTGTCATATAATGGAATGGTACATAGACGTTAAAATGAATCATTTAGAACTACACGGATTGTGTTTGATGAATCTTAAAAACAGGACGCAGGGTAATGAGAAAAGCCAATGACAGAATGATATAAACAGCAAGTATGACACCATTATCTGAAAAACAAATACTAACAAACTTTTGTACGTTGACACACTGCAGAATGAATGTGCGTAGGTGCATTTGCCTGTGTGTGTGTACATGTGTGTGTATTTCTCTGCAGAGGAGAAAGGGCTCCATGAAGGGCATCTCTATTTGTGAAGTTTTTTCTTTTTTCCTCTTAGATGAAGGAAAAGAAAGAGGGGAGAAATAAAGGAATAAATTAAAAAAATAATAAAAAAAAGGAATAAATAAAGGAAGGGGGAAGGAAGGATACTGGATGTCTAAAACATTGCTCTGTACAGTTTTTTCAAACTTGAAGTACCTTTTACCAGAAAGGAATACTTAGCCCCCGTAAACAACTCAGAAAACACATAAAAGTGTAAAAACAGGTAATTCCAAAGAAAAACAATCCTAACGTTTTGATGCATATCCTTCCAGAACTGTGCCATCCTTGCATTAGCCTGGGTATCAAATACCTAATTTTTTTTTATCCTTTTTTACACAATTTCTGGGAAAAAAAATGTTCTTCTGATTCGGGAAGTAGATACCGAGGTCCGTCCTCTCTCTGAGTGTTTGGGGGCGTCTTCCTCCCCTTGACCCCGCTGCATGTTCTCATCGTTGCACATTCCCATTTGCACGCAGACTGTGGGGCCCGTCCTGCGCCCCATTCTCTCCACTTGGGGGCTACCATAATCCACGTCAGCTCTACAAGCTGAATGCAGGGCGACCCCACGGGTTCCCAAACCAAGCCCGCGGAAGGCACGTTCGCCGTCTGAAACGAGAAGTCCTCCATGCGCAAGGTCTGATTTTCGGACGCCCTTCATGAGTGTGATTCATGGAAAAAAAAAAACAAAACAAAACAAAACTACAATCCCCGTGGGGCTTTGCTCCTGGGTGCCCCTCCCCGCGCCGCCTCCACCCCTGCGCCTGCGCATCCTGAGCGCGGACTACAACTCCCAGGATGCATCCTGACGCTGCCCGCGCGGCCCTACTTCCTGCCCAGGCGTTTCCTGGGTAAGAGTCCTCGGCCAGTCTGGGAAGTTTCGGGGGGGGCGGGGCTTGCGGGCCGCCTGGAAAAGCTTTGGGAGTAGCTTTTTTTTTTTTTTTTTTTTTTTTTTTTTTTTTTTTACCCCGTCTGTCACAAAAAGGCGGCGGGTGTGCAGCGCAGATACGGCTGCTGCCTGCCTTTATGGTGCGCCCAGACTTTGCTTTTCTGAACCGGGAGATGCGCCTTTGCAGCTCCCTTCAGGCAGGACCAGCGCAGGTGGTTGGCGGCCTTGCTGCTGCTCGTCTTCCCGGAAGGTAGTAAGCTCCCCCGGGCGGGGGGCTTTGTCTGTGGTGTCCCCCGGTTAGGCTCTCGGGGCATCTGAGAGGCCGCACACCCGGTACCCTGGGTAGTGGGCACGGCGAGCAGCGTCATCCCAGGTCTCCCTCCACAGTGTCACCAGGAGCCAGGTGGAAGGATAGCAGATGGGAGGAAAGATGGGAGGGGTTTCCGTTTGCTGTGGACGAGGTGGAGGAGGTCGCTTGGGTGCGCACTGGCTGCACCCACCCTAGTAGCGGTGTGGCTTTGGGCAGGTTCTCTCTGACCTCTCCGCGCCTCAGTTTCCTCATCTGTAAGCTGGGAGAATAATATTTACTACGTAGAGTTGTTGCAGTTAGGAAGAGTTGGCGTATATAGGGCCTGGCGCGTAGTGAGCATTTCTTTTTTTTTTTTTTTTTTAAAGATTTTATTTATTTAGTCATGAGAGATACAGAGAGAGGAAGGCAGAGACACAGGCAGAGAGATAAGCAGCCTTCACGCAGGGAGCCCTACGTGGGACTCGATCCGGGGTCTGCAGGGTCACGCCCTGGGCTGAAGGCGGCGCTGAACCGCTGAGCCACCCGGGCTGCCCGTGTAGTGAGCATTTATTAAGAGGCAGCTGTTGTCATTCTGGTCATTATTCAGTATCAAAGTGGGGGTGTTAATAAGAATCCTTGAAATAGGGACGCCCGGGTGGCCCAGCGGTTGAGCACCTGCCTTGGGCTCAGGTCATGATCCCGCGGTCCTGGATTCGAATTCTGAAACAGGCTGCCTGCAGGGAGCCTGCTTCTCCCTCTGCCTGTGTCTCTGCCTCTCTCTGTGTGTCTCTCATGGGTTAATAAAATCTTAAAAAAAAAAAAAAAAACAATCATTGAAGTAGGGGTGCCCGAGTGGCTCAGTTCCTTAAGCATGTGCCTTGGGCCCAGGTCATGACCCTGGGCTCCTGCATCGGGCTCTCTGATCAGCGAGGAGCCTGCTTTTGCCTCTCATCCCTCCTCCCCCCACACATGCTCACTCTCTCTCGTGCTTGCTCTCCTCTCTCTCTCTCTCAAATAAATAAAATCTCAAAAAAAAAAAATCATTGAAGTAGACTAAAAGTAAAATGATCGGAATCAAAAAAGTTAAAATCCTTGTGAGATTGGCATGCAAAAGTCAGAATTGATAGTTAATACACAAGTTTGGGCTCTGCAGGCAGTTTGGTTCAAGGTCTTTTTATTGAGTCTCCAAACAGAATGAAAATCTCTCATCCTATGTAGCCCAGAAAACAGATTGACACCAAACCTTTCAGTTTGCCCCCAAGCTGCCATTTTAAGTGCCAGGGCTAGCTGGTTCCAGGTCACAGGCCCCATTCATTTGTGTCCTACGGATACATGAAAGAAAATGTGCACTCCTTGCTGCCGATGTTCTGCTCACCAGGATTCTTTTGTTTTCTCCTGAGGTTGTTGCTCTGGACAACAAAAGAGATGTTAGGTCCCAACAAAGCTTTATAAATACCCTGACCCAGCTCCACTATAATTATTGCCACATATAGCTAACAGGCATTTAAGAAAATATCCAAAGGAATGTACACTCATGTTGAACCCTGTCCATGTGTTGTGTCTGGCAATAGTGATACAAAACCGCATGTTTAGCTTAGTTTAGTTTTGGCCTCCTCTGATAAAACATCATAATTTTTTTCCCTCGATATGTGTGCTAGATGATTTTCAGAAAAAATACTAATTTTGAGAAAGATAGCGTGGACCTGGTCATTCTGTGACATCATGTCTGATTTTAACTTTTTGCAAGGCAACATTTATAGTCATGAAGCAAAAGTAGATTTCGTGTAGAAGTCAGATGAAGGCCGGATGTTGGAGGTTTTTCTTCTGGCCTTGCCGTTTCCTGTAGTATCTGACTGCAGCTCGTTATGATGTTTCATGTTTATTTAAGGTGTGGGCAGAATGTGAAAAAAAAAATAGTTGGCTGCAGCATTTGAGCTATGTTTTTGCTGCTTGATTTCTGCTTTGTTCTGTTGTTATAAGAAATAGATGGAAGAGAAAGCCATGTTTCAGAATGATAGATGCTTTCAGCACTTCTTGTGTTGACCCAAGGCCAGTTATTTCTTCATGTAGATAGGACTGTACAAATTGGAGTAGCATTTTTTGAGTGTCCTCCAATTCAGGATGGCTGGACTTGGTTGAGTCACAGTGGTCACCTTGACCTCACTTCAAGATTACAAGATAACTTCATATCTAAATGCTAGGTGTGGTCATAAAAGGATCGCTGTTCTGTGCTCTGTTTCCCAAGTGGAAAAAAAAATACACACCGATTTAAATAGAATTACTCTTTGCTCTCCTGTGTATTTTGTTGTAGGCATGTTGATAACAAAGAATTAAAACAGTACTTTCAGGTTTATTATTTTTTAACGAAGAGTAATTGAGTGTCAATGTAATTCAATGTCAAATGAAGACTAATTGATGTCCTATCCAAGACAATAGACTATCTTAATAAATCCTCCCCTAATAGGAATAGTCTAGGATAAAATTGAGTAAGACTCCAGCACTTACTTGACTTTGTTTTGTTTTAATGGTGGGATGTGCACATCTGCATCCTCTCTGATCATCGAAGCATTCAGTGGAGTTGGAAGCCGCACCTTCTGCTAGTGACACTGCTGCACTGCCTCCCGCCTTTTACTGCACGACCCCAGGGGGCACGGTTCACATCAAATCGTGTGTGTTTGTGTGTGTGTTTCCAAGAAGACACTTTGATTATTTATTTCTATCAGTTTCTTAAAAGATGGAAAGGAGGACAATGAAGGTTGGATTTATTCACTGTTTTTTCATTCCTGAGATATGACAGTCGTGGTCACTTTTTTATTAAATTGGGGTCAAGTTCCCAAGATTTCTGCCATTTTCCAGGGACACCCTCACCCCCGGCTCTGAGTTCTTGTTCTCACCAAACTTGCTCTTTCTCTCTCAGCCTCCATGGAGAGACTCTGTGCTTTATCTTGCCAGATTCTTACCAGATGTCTTATTCTCCAACTCTTGCCTCCTCCCATGTAGCATGGCTCCTCTTACCTTTCTCACTTATGTGGAGCTCCAGTTTTTATTTCTTGGGCCTCTTTTTCTTCAGGCTGTCCAAGGAAATTACATTTTTATTCTTTGTCATATAGAGCAGTTTAGCCTTACATGCCCATCTCAGCTTTGGACTTTACCTTTGTGTATCCAAAATCATATTAATGTGACCTGCTAACCAAGAGTCTTGAATTAGGTCATCTACCCTTAGCACTGACAAAGGTTTGTTTGTTTTTTTTAATTTAGATTCAATCAGCCAACATAGAGTACATCATTAGTTTCAGGTGAAGAGTTCAATAATTCATCAGTTGCATATAACACCCAAGTGCTCATCCCATTATGTGCCTTCCTTAATGCCCATCACCCAGTGACCACCCACCACCACTCCAGCAACCCTCAGTTTGTTTCCCAGAGTTAAGAATCTCTCATGGTTTTCCCCCTCTCTGATGACTTCCCATTCAGTTTTCCATCCCTTCCCCTATCGTCCTCTGTGCTATTTCTTATATTCCACATGAGTGAAACCATATGATAATGGTCTTTCTCTGATTGACTTATTTTGCTCAGCATAATACCCTCCAGTACCATCCACATGGATGTAAATGATAAGTATTCATCCTTTCTGATGGCTGAGTAATATTCCATTGTGTGTGTGTGTGTATATATATATATATATATATATATATATACACACACACCTTCTTTATCCGTTCATCTATTGATAGACATCTGGGCTCTTTTCATACTTTGGCTATTGTGGACATTGTTACTGTAAACTTTGGGGTACAGATACATTTGTATCTTTGCGGTAGTAGTACAACTGCTGGCTCATATAGTAGCTCTATTTTTAGCTTTTTGAGGACCTCCGCACTACTTTCCAGCATGGTTGAACCAGCTTATATTCCTATCAAAATGTAAGAGAGTTCCCCTTTCACCACATCCTTGCCCACATTTGTTGTTTCCTGTCTTGTTAATTTTAGCCATTCTGACTGGTGTGAGGTGGTATCGATTTGTATTTCCCTGATGCCAAGTAACGTGGAGCATTTTTTCACATAGTTGTTGGCCATTGCAGGTCTTCTTTGGAAAAGTATCTGTTCATGTCTTCTGCCCATTTCTTGACTGGATTGTTTTTTGGGTGTTGAGTTTGATAAGTTCTTTAGAGATCTTAGATGCTAGCCCTTTATCTGATATGTCATTTGCAAATATCTTCTCCTACTCCATAGGTTACCTTTTAGTTTTGTTGATTTGTTTCCTTTGCTGTGCAGAAGCTTTTTGTTTGATGAAGTCCCAATAGCTCATTTTTGCCTTTGTTTCCCTTACCTTTGGAGATATGTCTAGCAAGAAGTTGCTGTGGCTGAGGTCACAGAGGTTGCTGCCTGTGTTCTCCCCTAGGATTTTGATGGATTCCTGTCTCACATTTAGGTCTTTCATCCATTTTTTTAAAATTTTTATTTATTTATGATAGTCACACAGAATGAGAGAGAGAGTCAGAGACATAGGCAGAGGGAGAAGCAGGCTCCATGCACCGGGAGCCTGACGTGGGATTCGATCCTGGGTCTCCAGGATCGTGCCCTGGGCCAAAGGCAGGCGCCAAACCGCTGCGCCACCCAGGGATCCCTCTTTCATCCATTTTGAATTTATTTTTGTGTATGGTGTGAAGAAATGATCCCGTTTCATTCTTCTATATGTGGCTGTCCAATTTTCCCAGAACTGTTTATTGAAGAAACTGTCCTTTTTTCATTGGATATTCTTTCCTGCTTTGTTGAAGATTAGTTGACCATAGATTTGAGGATCCCTTTCTGGATTCTCTATTCTATTCCATTGATCTATGTGTCTGTTTTTGTGCCAATACCATACTGTCTTGGTGATGATTACAGCATTGTAATCAAGAGCTTCAAGATTCAAGAGCTTAAAGTCCAGAATTGTGATGCCCCCAGCTTTGATTTTGTTTT